TAATTGTTTCCCCCCCCCCCCCCCCCAGAAAGTGGTACTTCTTTTCTTGGAAAGTCTATTTTGCTTTCTTCCATCTCAGAAAGAACAGACAGACAAAGGCAATTTATACCAGCTGAGAACCTAAAACAGAGCATGAATTCTAACATGAGTATGGACAAGACATTCCAGGTAAGCTGCTGTATTGACACAATGTGAATTTTAAACCAGTAGATGGAGCAAATCAACAGCATTATAAGATCTGTTAGGAAATGTTAGTATTTGGGATTGTTATTCCTACACTAATGAAGAAACAACATCAATTATTTAACTGAAACCTTTCTGCAGAAAGTTGTATGTCTGTGTACCTGTGGGAATTCTTGGAAAGCTCCCATGGTTTCCTGATTTCTGTCAGAAGAGCCTCCAATAACAATCAAAGGCCTAGAAAAGTATGTTAAAAAAAAAAAAACAACAAACAAAAAACAACCTTAAGCATACATATATTTTTTTATAACTGCAATCACATCTGTAAACTTTCCTTATGGTCAAATCCTACTGGTCTTGGGATCTTGTGCAACTTCAGCATCCACAGATCTCAACAGGAATACAAAGTGACCAGCACAATACAGAAGTGGATTCTAAGTATCAGCGTATCAGCCCTTAGACTTAGTAGCAGCTTGCGTGTCACTAATTTTAGGTCAGTCTGGCCGTATTAAGTGATCTGTATCTAGCATAAAAATTCTAAAAGCAAGTCATATTGCTAGCAATTTTCATTTAAGTTTGATAACATGGGTGACAAAGGTGGTTTGACAGGAATGGCAACAGCTAATCTAAAAAGCTATAAAGTATTGATTGATCTAAAAAGCATTAAGATGTTTGTTTATAACAGGCATTGTAACATGCACAAACAGTAGAACTAAAGAAACGCAATGGGAAACAATCTCTTCAGAAAGATTAGATTTTCTTTGTATACAATTCAGAACACAGCAGAAGTTAGTTGACTATCCAACAGCACTTCTCCCTGCATTCAGTTTTTAGTAGAAAACGCCAAAGACCAAAGAGATGAACAAAAAATTAACAGGCCTACAAGCAGTCCTGTTCTTAAATTAGTTCACGGATATGTGAGAAAGGCAGCATTAGTGTAGAATATGGGTTATACACTCCACAGGGGCACGTTTTTATTATCATTTCCACAAAATAAAATAAATTGTTTTCCTACTGCGAATGAAAACTGGTCTTTTATTCAGTTTGTAGGTCAAACTCCTTGAAATGCTAAATGTTGAGCCAATAAAAGAAAGCTGTCTTCTTAATCTGCTCATTCATACACACTAAATTGAAATATTGGGTCAATACCTTCCTAGGCTTTTTCTCCAAAACAATTTATCTTCAGATACAGCCTTTCCTTTGACTGCATTTATCTATACAATGTATTAAGCTGAAACATTTACAGTGTGCTCAATGCATAATCCTAAATTCAATCACCCATAAGATTTGGGGATATGTGTATCTCGATCCCAGCTTCATAACCAGGCCATTTCTCTGCCACAAATCAAAAATCTCAGTTCTAATCCCCTGACACAGTAAGGTAAGAACTTCAGACTGTATCTTACCTCTGTGAAAAATCCTTATGGAAAAACATGTTTAGTGTATGCTCTAGATATTTTATTCTGCCGATTCTCTCCCCTCAGCAAAATGATTATCCATATGTAAACAGTTTGTTTCACAATGACAAACCCTGTGTTCCTTTCAATTATCTTTTTCAAATTTATTTAAATGTTTTGATAAACAAAGTAACTACTACTTTCCAATACAGAAATATAATTAAGAAAATGCTCTACTGTTAAGAAAGCCAACTCCAACAGCTATATCTTGAAAAGATTTGGTTCTACTTTTAAAGTTCACATAATTTTAACCAGGAAGAAGTTTAACCCCTTATGAAATCATCGTACTACTGTCACAACACCGTGGACATTTTAAAGAGCAGTGCTTATAAATTAAGTCAAAAACAACAGTGAAACTAATAAGAATAGCAACCCTTATGGACTTGCAGGAGAAGAACTTCAGTAAACTGAAGAAAATTTCAACATCAGCTTCAGGTAAAGAGCATGGTATTTCACCATGCTACTGTATACTGAATCTTACCAACTATCTCAAACTCTTCTTTGGAGTCTATTCTCATAGCCAAACTGAGATACAAAAACTTTTGCTCAGGATGAGGCAGGAGAGAAGGCGGCAGCACAGTAGGTAATTTTTAACATGAAATATCAAAAGGTTTTAGCCTCAGAAATGCAGTTTACCAAGGCCTCATTAGCTACCTAGTTGGCTAGATTTACATGTCCAAGAGCTCACTGTGACAAGCTTCCAGGGTAAACCAAAGGCTCTTCTACTCAGCCAACCTGTGCTCAGGCAATAAAATCTAGAATCACAATTGGCAGCAAATTGTGCTATCAGACTGCTTGACTTTCTTCCAGTTGATACCAGAGAGGTTTCTTTCACCTGGAAGAGACTGAAACGGAGCACAATGAGAGGAATGGGTCTCCAGGCTCAAGGAGGACAACTCAGACTGAGCTTTAATGAGTCTCGCTTAGTCAGAGTTATTTAAAGTCAGAACCAGCAGGGTCAGTTCAACTATTACCTTACTTTTGCAAGAAATAAGACAAAGCTCAGCCATTGTAGCACATTAACAATTCCAGGTGTAAAGCCACGGAATCACATGACACCTGGGAGATACTGATGAGGGCTAACCTTGCCCTACAAATTGGTCTCCTCATGCCACTTCCTCTCAGGGGATGGTATAGAGCAGGAGACTTAACACCTTGTTGCCACAGAAAGGGGAAGACCTCTCTAACTTCTGCTCCCAGCTGCATAACCTACTCCCTCCCTTGCCTAGGTACTTGATGCTTGCCTGACTGCAGAGTAAGCTGATTTAGATCACTTATCTAACATGGCTTTATTCTGGCAAAAAGCCAACTCAGCAAAAATAAGTAAATAATGAACTGAATGTGATTGTTAAGGCAGACAAGTGCCAGAGCTGTCAAGAGAGCAAGCAGCAGAAGTACATGCCCAGGAGAAAGGTGACGAGATGATACGGGCCTATGTTCCATTTCGTGGCAGACTGTATTAGATCAGCATAACCAAACCCCTCAATGTGTATCGTATTTTCCTTTCTTTTCCTTGGGCTACTCCTGCTCTTCCCTTGCAACACTCCTTCTCTGTAGTACCTGCCCAAGTACTCATGTTGCTGTCTAGTGAAACAGGCTAGAAAGCAGATTAGTTAACAGAAAAATCCCTAGTCTTCCTCTCCAAAGCATAGCACCCTTTCTTACAATGGTAATGCCAGTCAAAAGTAAATGTGAAACCATGTCTGGGATTCTCAAACACTCAGTGGAGGGCTTACTAACAAAGGAGCCAAGGAAAATTAATTTCACTAGGCTAAATTTAGGGTTTGCGAATGCTTACTTCTCTCCTTTTGGCACATGGCAGGCAAAAGGCAAGACAGATGCGACCAATGGAAAAAAATCATTGGGCAAACACTGTGGTTTGGTCAGTAAAAACCAATCCTCTTAATATATTGTCAAATTTTCTGCCAAAGTAGGTAAGTCACTCCCTTCATCTTTTGCCAGGAGTACAGGTTTATGCAAGATCAAGTCAGGTAAACAGACCTCATCTCAAACAAAATTAAGTTTGTGAGAAAATAGAAATGCCTCCTGCAAATCCATAAGCAAGTGCCACGAATATGACCAAATCCATGACTGTTCAAAAGCAAGGTTTTCATGTGATTTTTTTTTTTAACCTAAGGTCACGTAGGGACAGCAAAACTTTATTCAATAACTCATTCTTTAAAAAAGAATTTGAACACTAGGGGTCTTTTTTCAAAGTGTCAGAGACTTGATTTTTTAGCATTTCCATTATTGAGCTTCCCTTGTCCCTCAGGCACTGCTAACCTAATGCTCCAGGGGATGTGACTTGGTATTACCAGAGCTCCTACCCAAAGTACCTCATACATCTTTCTGAACAGCTTTCAGTGGCAGACCAGCTAAAGTTGCCATGTCCCTCTGAAGGCTTGTGGGAGTAAACGCTATCACTCAGTATGTTATTTAATTCAATACTTAATTACTGCTCTAAATGTCTGCGTGGGGAGCAAATACAGATTTTAACAATGCAGTTGTCAATTTGTTCACATAGGAAATACAGTAATTCAAAGGCAATGTGGAATTAAATTTAGAAAAACCCTCTAAGACTTTCCACGATCAATAAAGCATTACAGGCTGAATATCGACTTCATTTTCAAATGTATCCATACAATCAGGTATGCTGATAGATTTTCCAATACATGCATAATGGAGTAGGACAAAAAGGAGACTTTTATGCATGAGAGTAAAAAAAATGGAACTAAATTACTTTTAGGGTTGATAAATGAAGAATTCCCTTCTCGTTACCCACAAGACAGAAAAAGCAAAAGTCCTATACTAAATACAGTGGAACTCAACATCTGCAACAAATAACAGCAAACAATTATTAGAATTTTAAAGGGAAGTAGTTAAATTACCAGCAGTTCATGGTTGCATTTGCCATCCCACCAAGTGCGTGCAAAAAACCTGGACCGGACACTACAAGACACACTCCTGGTCTACAAGGGAGGGGAAAAAAAAAAGAAAAAAAAAAAAAGATGGAGAGAAAAGGAAAGTTAACACAGGGAACACTGAATAAATCACCAACAAAAATTAGTAAGATGCTGAAATACAAAATGTTAAAGTTTTACTCATGTCATCAAAATGCACAAATGGCAAGGATTTGTATGAAGGACTGAAGATAGACATGGGAATCAGAAATCATTTAGCTGTATCAACCCAATTGAAAAAGCAAGTGAACAGTTGGTATGTGTCACCCACACAGAGGTCTGCAACATACACAGGCTTATAACACAGCTCCTTACTTCTTTCATCACATTTACTCCATCATCTAGCAATTATATGGAACTTGGTAAGCCACTTATGTTTGCAGTTTTCTCAGCTGCACATTAGCACTAGATATCAATGAAGAAAGCTCACAATGGAAGAAGTGCATCTGATTCAACAAAAATTTTATTACAGTTTAATTCAAGCAGAGGCACTTGTTATTCCATGTGATGAGATAAAAATGATCATTCTTAACTACTGACCATTCCCTAGCAGCTTTACAGACTCTTTACATATTTAAAAAAACCAAAACAAAACAAAAAAAAACAAACAAAAAACTACTTCCAGATGATTATTCAAATAAAGAAAAACTACAAAACTCTGTAACATAGGTGTCATGCTTGCAGACAGAATAAGGAAAGATCACCTGCATCATCAGGTCTGCATTTGTGAGCAACCAGATTTTACTTTAGAAAAGGATTCATGGGATACCTAAGAAGCACAACTCAAGTCACAGGCCACAGAATGCTTCCCAACAACATTAAGAGCAAAATGCAGTAAAAGAGGAAAAGCCAGGACTTTGTGTCAGGAGAAGCAACAGGGGAGACTTGAAGGCATATGATCAGTCTCCGTATTGATAAGGTATTTGTTGAACAATACACCCAGATGATGAGATTGAGGTATAGCAGGTCCACCAAGTTGCAACAAACAATGGTGGCATGATTTCTGCCCCTCATACCAATGGTGTTAAGCTACTATTCAGATATTAAAAAGGAAAAAATAAAGAAAGTTATAAGATGGACAATATTATATGAGCTTAAGCACCTTCTTGCTCCTGCTCTGATACATAGCAACAGAAATATTGATAACTTTTATTGACAGTTATTTTAAAATTCATGTTCCATTTTAACTGCCCTACATCTGCACACACTAAAAACACCCAGCTCCAAAACAGAAAAATGTTCCTAGCTTCTGTTGAGTCTAACACAGTCAATATTATAAATTACATTATTATAAATATAAATAAATATGGAATGTACCTGCCAGTCAAATATCCAACAGCAGATGCAGCATAACAGGCCTATTGAAAATACTGGAGTTAATTATACAATTATTATTATACATACATTTCATGATATCTTGTACATAACTTTCAACAACAATACTGAAAATAAGCAGGTACAGATTTTTCCCTGATCATCAGAGCTTAAATGTAAGTAAAAGCACCCCTTCACCCTCCCCATTATATGGTGTGTTCATGAAGGTTTATGTGAAAAATCTCAAGACTCCTCTCCATATTTCAGGCTCCTGTTGTTCCAGGATATTACATAAGGAATATTTGGGATTCAAAAAAGAAAGAACAACCACGTAAAAGAAAACCCCTAAAACCAGGGAAGTAAATTGAATAGAACAACATATGAAACTTCTGCCTTCTGCTGTCTTCTGGACTAACACGGAAGAGGGATTTGCAGGAGAAAGGCAACAAACAGAAATCCAGCCATCACTGGAATAACTTGTTGTAGTTCAGAAATTAAGCAAAAGGTTGAAATCACACACTGGAGAGATTAATTAGAAGATTAGGGATTGTCTTTTACAAGCTGAGCTGCTGAAGTACTTCTCACTCCATTTCTGGCACCACACTTAGCTTTAGCTACTTTTGACATTATAAACAAAAATTGTGTTTTGAATAATTTTCACAAAAGTAACACCTACAACATGTGTTAGCATAGCTTATCAGCAGTATTACTAAGGAGTATGTTTTTATGCTATTCCTGTAGTAATATTAAACATTCAGATATAAATTTTACCTGGTAACAAGACAATATGTGATCAAGTAGAAACAGAAGCTTACAGGTGACCCAAGAACTCCAAAGGATTCACATATATAACATTGCCAACTCCCTTATATTCTCATGCTTTTGTCTTGAATTCAACAACCTCTAACACTTAATGGAAAAAACTGATTTTGCAATTTTTTTTTTTTTTTTTTTTTTTTCACCAAAGTAAGATCCTGGTCTTACAGCCTCCCTCTTTCATTTTTAAACAGAGTTGAGATTTTGGTTTTTTTAGTTTTTTGTTTATTTATTTGTTTTGGTTTTTATTTTTTTTAAGTACTATTGTGGCAAGAAGAATAAGTAACATAAAAGCTCCTTCTAAAAGTTTACAGAGCTACTAAATATTTTCTTCAAACCTATGAGTAATTCTAGGTAACACAGCAATCTCAGCTTAAATGAGTGAAAACACAGACTTCTTAGAAGCTTTTACACAGAGAAACTATCTTTAATATCTGCATGCTCCTACAGATACAGACCAACTGCCTGAGCAAAAGTGTGGAGCTTAGTAGAGGAATAATAAGAAATCCTCATTTTCTTTGCAGCGTTAGGATAAGGAATTGTTGACAAAAAAGTACATTGAAAAGAAAAATCTCTTTCTACTTTTCATATGCCTCTAACATGGAGAAGAAAAATGTTACTAATGTTCAAGAATTAGATAACAATTTGACGACATATCTGTGTGCAAAAGTTTAGAAATATTTGGAGTAGGTGTTACTAAAAAAACTTGTAAATGGAGCTCAAAGCATGGTGTTGAGTTTCCATGGCAATCATGTTTTAGAACCAACTGGCAAATAAAGCAGCACATAGAATTTGGGTTCATGCACTGTCATTGCCATTAAAACTTTTACTGCTTCTTTCTGCAAGAAAGCAACATGACTAAAGTTATCTGTATTTAGAGGAGAGGAGATTGTAAATAATTTTGAAGGTATACTTAAAAGATTTTTTTGTGTGAACAGTAAGAATGAAACCCCATTTTACTGATGAACCTTGCACCCATACCACTAAAATGTCAATAACAGCACTCATCAACTGTGTTGTGACCTTAACAGATAATCAGCTGAAACCAGATCCTTATGTTCCTCAGACAGGCAAGAAGGATGCAGGCATATAAAATGCCATTGCCCATCAAACCCACAATCGACATTAGGAAGAAACGTAGGAAGTCTAGATGTAGGCACTTGAACTCAAAAGCTTGCAACCACCCATGAGTGCTGGGTTTGAACTGTAGCCAAAGCAGAGGCCTGTTCCTCCCATACAAGTACAAGCACACTAAGCAGGGTTTAATTAGTCTGTTTTCAACTCAAACATAAGCCAACTAATACAACATAGTGAGTAAACAATGCTTAAGCCCAGTTAAAACAGCACTGCCATGCCTAGGGGCAGGTCTGAGGCCCTTATGTTAATTGTACCTAATGCCCAATGTTCCAGGGCTGGCCTGCAGAGCTTGTGATCGACCTATTACGAGAACCTGCTGTATGAACCTGAGCTCGGTACGTAATGTCTTTTGTTACCACATACTACTTAAGTGCAGGCCTTGAAAATAAGGACACAGGTTGAAAGTGGCGGGCCCCGAATAACAAACAAATTGCTCATGGCCAATTACTCATCACTGAAAAAGTGCAACTTTGAGATCTGGAAAGACACTGTTTTGCTTTAGGTAAAGCAGCAATGGCTAAGCAAGGGGAAAAAAACAAAACAAAGTCAAAAAAGAAAAGCAACAGATGTGCAACAGGAAAAGGCACCTGTCTTGGCCTCGGAAAGTGCCATCCAGCACCACACAGTCCATAGTCCAGACATGGAGGCCAAGGGGCAAGACCTGTTCAGAGACCAAAAGGTCTTATAAAAATAGATCTTGAATCTAAGGGGTGGAGAAAAAAAGATACCCACTTTAGTTCCAGCTGCCTTTACTGAAGGGTTGTCAAGCCCAATTCCCTCGACAGCTAGCACCATCAGCAGCTGGAACTGCACCAGCTCCAGCATATTGTATGCTCATGACTAACTTAGGATACGATTATCAAGAAGAGACTGCTTTGAATATGTAGCGATAATTATTAAAGATTAAAAACTAAACATTAGCAATGTGTGTTGTTAATGATTAACAATCTAGTAAAGGGTTTTTTTGAAGTTTAAAACTGACCTGGGTTATCTGTCTTCTAAACAATCACAGAAATCTCTAATTATCCAGGGACAGTACACAAAACACATGCCCCTATTGAGTTGCAACACAACTATTCAGTGTTCAAGGGGCATATGGGACACAGGTTAAACTGCTTCTAGCAAACTTATGGCATATTACAGGCCACAGGAGATTAGCTAACGGATATTGGTAGTACTACTTAGGTTTTAACTTCATGCTTTAATGTGGTCTTTCTAGTCAAACAATTTATTCTGCAGCCTTATGGGCTTTTGCTACACCTGGCCCAGAAATGAGGCAGAAACTCAACCCCTGGAAAAAACTCATATATCTCAGATTATTATACAGCTGCCTTCACCAATAAAGGAAGCAGCTGTATACACATCCTCCACAGCCAGACAACACAACTAATAAACTCAGACAATTACAACTATGACATGTGTAAACATTAAGTGTATCTTGAATATACTGTGCATAACCTTTTACCCTCTCCTCTGCCAAGCACTCAATGTCTTCACTGAAGACAAAGAAAACAAATCCCCGCTACAAGACATATCTTTGCTCATCCTTTTCCACTTCCCAAAGAAGAGAAACCCTGACATTTTGATGTTTTAACAAGTCTTCACATTACTGTTATTCCCCTAAGCAAAAGTATCTCACCATTTACACAACAGAACGTTTCTTGTCTTCTTCACTCTAACAGAAGAGAGTCTAATAAAGAGTGATAAATAGGACAGCATCTCATTTGGCAGTGCAAAGCAGTCTTTTCTGTTAATCAGACACATGAGGAAATTAATTTTAATCATGTTCATAACCAAAGCTAAAACTAGAATACTGGCTAAATGGCCTACAGGAATATAAAGACCATGTTGAATTCCCAGCCCTTCAAAGGAATCAAATACACCCTTTAAACATATTTATATATGTTTGCCTCTCTCACATGGTACAGATTTTCCATACAGAGACATGCATTCCTCTGTATATTCTCACATTCCAATAAGGATGTAAGGATTAGACAGCAAAAACATACAGCTCATGACCACCTGATTTAGGAGAAGTACTTTGTTGACATCTGGGACAATCCATGAAGGCTATGAACTACACGGTGGAAAACAGAAAAAGAACACTGGTACAAAATACAGGCACCTGAATACTGTGCAGGTCCAGAATATTAGAAGGAATTCCTTTTACAAAGTGGGAAAATTCTAATTAATAGTGTTCATAGAGAGACAAGACCCAAAACCAAGTTAAAACACAAGAAAAACCTCCTGATAAGATAATAATTGAGCAATTTAATTATTTGTTGGCATCAGTTATGGAAAATTGACAAGCGTAGTAGAGCAACTCTGAGTATGGAAAGCTGATGGCTGATTTGCTAGCAGTCCAATAGCTAGCCAGCTTGTATAGCTATCTTCGAAAATGAGGTATAAACCTGAGGTTATTATATTCAACCTCAAATCACTTAAGAAACTACTGACGCTTAAAGAGTTACTACTGGGGAAAACCAAACAAAACCAGAACTAGTGGCATAACATCAAAATGATAATGAGCTTGAGTCTAATTTCTGATACCCAGACAACAAAGCTCAAATATATACAACTACGAGAGTCTAAGTGTACGTTCGTGCTTGATTTTGAGCATTCAGAAGCATTACAACTTTCTATGGTTTGCTGTTTAGTGAACTTTTAAAACACAGTTAAGGAAAAAAAGATATCACTATTATTGAAAATAGTCAGGACAAGTCTATCAGCAGGAAAACCTTCCTCTTTGGACACTGCAAGAACAGAACAGAGACAAGGAAAAAAAAAACCCTACCTTTTCAGGCCTGTAGGAAATAACTCCTAAGTAAAATATCCTTCTAAGCAAAAATGAAAAAAGTAGCTAAGAAAGTCCTAAAAAAGGCATTAAAATACTACTAGTTAGAGAGAGAATGATAATATTTTCCTAATCTGGAAGGGAAGACATCAGCAAAAGACAATGACAGTAAAAAAATTTAAGGGAAAAGTAGATTGGAAAATCTATAGAAAGCTACAGAAAACCAAAAATGGATTGGATGAGCCTCCCAAAAAGTGGCAAATAAAATCTGACAGTATATTACTCGAAGGAGACAAAATCGATCTAATTTTTTCTTTCTGTATTGGAATACTCTGTTCAAATTCTTTTTCTCCCTATTTTCATCCTATCTTCTCTCCCTTACTGGAGAAAGGCATCCAAAAATGAAGAAAGTTGCAATTCTCTTATTAGAACAGTAGGGGGCACTTAAAAATGGAAGTGGGTAAAGAAGGGCAAAAGGAAACACCCAACTCAATGCTCTCCCTTATTCCGGAATGACTGTAAGTGGACAGGAACATTCATAGACCACATTCCTTCTAGTAAGGAAACATGAATTGGATTTAATTCTGTTATACAATAGTTAAAAGAAAGGGTTGGTCCTGCTACAGATATATACTTACAGCTTGTTCGTTTCTCATTCCTACATATTTTATTCCAACTGCTTGGGCTGTGATTGCAATTTCAGTGACAGGAATACCAACAATGCCAAACATGCATTCGATATTCTAAAAAAGAAAAATGTTAAAAGAAATCAGAATTGTTTCCAAAAGATAGCTTTAATAAGCACGTGCCACACACAGTCGTACTAACTACACAGGAAGTCTAAAAATAAATTGTAGCAACATATATATATATTCACATCCCAGAAGTTCGCAGGCCGCTGTGGAAACCTATAGGACGCCAGCTGGCGTTTGCAGCTCAGTCCTCTGTAGTTGTGAAAGCACCGGGTTTTGGAGGCCTACGAGGAGCAGAACAACCGGTTCAGCCCGGCTCCTCAGTCAGCAGATGTTTAGTGCTTTTTACTGACCACGTCTTACCGGGGACATCCCTGCTACACCATTTTCCGGTGTCTCAGTATGTCAACTTCACCTCCTCTGAAAATTCCCCGTGGCGCTTCATGTTTTTACGCTTTCACAGCAAACGAACACCAAGAAGGAAGAAGTGAAGGACCGGGGAAAGTCACCGCCTCGCGCCTGCCCGCGGCGGCGGAGGGACCGGCCGGGGGCCCGCTCACTGGCCGGCTGCGGCGGGACCTCCCTCCTTCCCACACAGGAACGGGGCAAGCCCTTCCCGCCCGACCCCGGGAGAACGGCAGCGGCGCCCAGCGTGAGTCCGGCCGCGCGCACTCGCCTCTCCCCAGCCCC